CTGCACAATTTTACACTGAGATTAAAACTTTTCGGTATTTGTAACTATAATTACATATTACTATAATTATGATTATGATTAATTGATTACTATAGTATAATAACTATGTGTATAGTTTAACCAATATATTGTATATAGTTGGCAACCAAAAATTACTATAATTATAGTTATAATAATTATAATTATAATCATTTTCGATTGCCAACTATACATATTGGTTGATAGAATTATACATATATATAGTTATTATTACTAATACTATAGTCATAATCATAGTAATAGTAATATACAATAATTATAGTTACAAATGCCAAAAAGTTTTTCTCTCACAATCGTTTACGCTTTTCACTCTCCTCTCACATTCGATGTGAATCCGATTATTATTTGGCCAAGGCAATGATTTATTACGTCTAAATTATTATTGTTAATCGAAACACACTGACCTTTGCATTTAGGATTGACACAACTGTGGGCACTATTGAGGTACTGTACTAGGTTGTGCGGTATACTTTCATTATCATAGCGAATATCACTGGACTTGATGATACGCGCTGCTAGCTCCAACAACGATGGTGGATTGTGTGTCATGTCAGATACGAATCTCACCACCAACGGATTATCTCGTAAAGACAACTGCGAAAAACGAATAAAATTTTTTTCCACAAAACAAACTTTAATTTAGCAAAAGTCCGTTACAAAAGTTATAAAATTTGCTACGCAAAGATTGCATAGTAAAAACATTTAAATAAGCAGAGAGTGCAGTAGAGAAATCAAATTTGTGAAATCAATTATATTAAACGAATTAATTCATTATAATAAAAATCGTTAAACTAAATTTACCTCAATACTTTAAATGTATATGTATGTACATACATACATACACATAAAATGTATATACATATAAAACATAAAAGTATAAAATATAGGATGATTAAGTAAATTATTCGTAACACTCACCTCTGTGAGACATTTTAACGTTATTATCTCAGTAGGCAATGTCCGTAATCTGTTTTTGTGAAGCGATAGAGTCTTCAAGTTCGTTAAATTGGCTATTGAGCTTGGCAGACTCTCTAGCATGTTATCACAAAGTACGAGAGCCTGTAGGGTCTTCAGTTGACCAAGGGTACAAGGTACCTCTATCAATCTGTTGTTTCCCATCGACAAAACTCGCAATCTTTGACAAATCAGAATATTATTTTTTAATAATGTTTTAGGCAAAGTCGATTAATTATTCAATTTTTTATATATAAAACAATATGGGATGTGTGTATTATACTCGCAAACAATTATTTAAATTAATAGTATCAAAATATCATTATATAATATAACTCGCATAATTCTTCACATTATTAGCATATATTACATACCAAGATATTTAATTATAGCTTTTCAAACTTATTTCATGCTCTTCATATTTAAGTTTTGAATCGCCGATTATTAATTTGCTAATAATTAAATTAACAAATTTTATTTTTATTTAAAACTTAAATATTATTAAAATTCGTTAAAATGCTCAATTACCCTTGTAGTTTCCAGATGTCCTTGGTAATTTCGCTGATACGATTGCCACCCAAATAAAGATACTTTAATCCAGGTAGATCAAAAATTTGATTAGGAAATTCCGTGAGTCTATTACCACTTAGATTGAGTTCCCTTAAATTAACGAGATTTTCAAAATCTTTCGCTAGTCCATCATTGGTCAGGTTATTGTGTTTCGCAATTAAACAGGTCAAAGGACAATTCGCCCAAAAATCCGATAAGCTCGTGAGGCCACAGTTCGAGATATCGAGGAAATTCAGATTGATAAATCTATTGATATTGGCAGGTACAGTTGTGAGAAGATTCTGACTCAACAATAAGGTATCCACTTGCTCTGGACTTTTGGTATTGTGGAATTGCTTATCTAGTACTTCGTTGTCCAATACCAGATAGGACAAATCCAACGTTCTTAAGGTAGAATCCGAGTCGCTGGAGTCGGATGTGTAATTCTCCATGACTATTCTAGGTTTGAAAATATTTCATACTATTACTTATATTTCATTGTGTTATACCACTTATTTATTATAATATACCGTTTATATAAGAAAATGTAAAACGTAATGTAACATATAAATTATTTGATTATATATAAAACGGAGAGAAAAACTCCATATTATATTATTATAATAATTTGTATATATAGCAATTTATATGTACATACATAAATATATGTATATAAATTATGACGTGAATTTATTTATACATTTATAATATTTAATTAATGTTTTTAATATGTTTTTATTTTATCTATTTTAATATATAACCTTTATAGTATTATATATATATATATATAAAATTAATTTATTAATTCAATGTTATTTTTCATATATACGCGCGCGATTATCTAAATTCTTCTTTCAAGGAAAATGCAGGAAATTTGTATAGTAATAAAATGATATACTTTTCTATATAAAACCGCATTGTCATTATCGTAATCGTACAAGCAATGAGGAACGGCAAAATGTAAATAATGGATATGAAGCTTTCGTCATGTAGATGACATATGATGATTTGCGTTTAACATAAATTATCACACGACGCGTATCAAGTAAATTATTTAAAAAAAATCGATAATTTCGAAAAGATTAAAAGCGTGCAATAACCGACTACACACTAAATTACTATCGCCTTGAAATAATTTTTAAACAGTTCATAAAAACATAATTAGAAATAAGTATTTTTCAATATGTATTCTTCATTTAGCGCCCTTTTAATTGTAATAATTATCCACGAACACGCGCGCATATATGTTCGTTACACATTCAGTGCATGTAAAATTATCAAAAATATCGATAAGATTCTGAGAAGACCGTCGTGTGCAAATCATGCTAGTTGTTATTAGTCCAAATCAAGGTCCAAATGATGACTGTTATAAAATAATTCTCGAGTGTTTCGTAGAAAATAATTAATATATGGAGTGTTCCAAATTATTGAACTCTTATTAATAATGAAGAATAGCTCTTTCAACTGAATTGCAGTCATTAGTATTATAAAAATTATTTATAAGCTATACATATATTATTTACGAACTATACATATATTTTGTTATATATATAACAAATTACTGAATATATATAACAAATTATTTAAATGAGTCTTTTTGGTAAAAAGTTATAAAAATCCCAGACAGCGTCTTATACCCCGATTTTGGACACTGTGCTGTATTGGGACAAAGAATTTGTAGACAAAAAATATAATTTACATTCGATCAATAACCGCACAAATATCGAATAAAATTTACACACTGACAATTCTTTAGCTTAAAGAAGACATCCAATATAAAATGAGAATGTTTTTGTTCTACATTGTGATATTTTAAAACATTTTATAAAGAAATTTAATTCGTTTTAATTCTATATTATTCTCAATAGAAATTAAGAATAATAAAGAAGTAAAATTAATAAAAACGACTTACACGGATATTTGAAATCCGCGCTACTATACGAATTATTAGTGATTCTCATGTGACGTCATACTGTGAACCGTCTGGTATCACGAGCTGCATGGAGTACAACACTTACTTATTACTTATTTTAGCTTCACAAAGAAGACAATGCCGTTGGCAACTTTCCGTTAGTTAGCACTTCCTGAAAACACAATTCGTATCACAATGCGTAAATCTCAAATGAGCGAATTTTACGAGCAGCGCAAATAGAATGGCACAAATAGAACTAACCAAACACGCGAAGATCGGCGGCACACGAAACACGACAGCATGGCATCTGCGCTTTATCAGCGCGTGTCTCACGTCCGTATCCATCGCCTATCATCTCCGCTGCCATTCCAGCCGTTCTCCCCGCCGAGTTACAACCAATCCTAAATATATTGGGAGCTTTCCAACAAGCGAAAGTTCACAATGATCATTTTATCTTTGTTTAACATTGGTAAACAACCAGGATGTAAATACGTATGATTCACCGTGTTATACTGTGTCATCTGTGTCTCTTGTTGGAAAGCTCTTGTCATCGTTAAAGACCTATCTGGATCGATGGATTTGCATATGTTTGAAAAAAGTCTGTTATGATTATTCTATTAAGTAATTTATAAAGATGTATCTAATTAAAATCCATTGTTAAAAAAGTTTTGTTTATTACGTATATAAAGAATTAATTTTTTAAAAATAATTTTTGAGATTTTATTTTTATATAAATATATATATGTATATATATTTATTAAAAATAGATTTTGACATTTACCATCAATTGATAATCCGGTTGCTTGATATGTCAGCATTCTTCAATTTCTGCTGAGTCTCCAGACATGTCCGTTTTCAACCTCCGGTGTTTCCGATGTTGTTTTGGATGGAGAGGTTAGAAATGTGTGCTCCTTCTTATTATAAAAATTTTAATAAAAAAAGAAACGAAGAAAAAAAAAGAAACAGCCTTTGAAATTGACTTGTATATTTACGTATGAAAATTTTATAATTTATTATATCTATCATATTATTACACTACTGTGAATCTTTTTCTTGTTAATTAACTTGCGTGTGGTAAGATTAATGGTAACATCTTAATGAGTTTGTATTGTTGAAATAAATTTTGTTGATACTGTTTAATAATGTAAGATTATTGAACAATGTATTAATATTATGTATTAAATTGCATAGTAAAATCATATTTAAATTAAAATATATTTATCATTATATAAATACACTATCTTGCAGATGTATTTATTGAATACTAATGTGTACATTATGAGGAATGTTAAATAAATGAAATCATATAATGATTTAATCATTATTAATAATAAATATAACATTTATAGTTTATATATATCTTAGACTTCTAAAATATTTTTTATTATTTTCATTACTTTGTTTTTGTATAATAATAGTATCTCTATTTTTAAAATACATATTATGACACAAATTTTAATAAAATATACTAAACAAACTTTATTTCTTACAAATTATGAAATAATTTTAATAAATTTAATGAATAAATTTAATTTTTAGGTGTAGAATAAATGACGCTGTTTTACAAGTTATATCAACCATTACGGTCTCATTTTTATAAGTTTAATATAAATACATATGTTTTATCAAAGCAAAGCTATAGTGCTAAGAAAATTGTTCACTTAGAAACCCTAATTACGAAAGATGATATATATGAGGAAATGAAAAGTGATTTATCTACCGTAGAATGGAAAAGGATACGAGAAAAAATTCTTCAAAAAAATACAGAAATCACACCATCCATTGTAGACTCCATAATCATAGATATGTGTGTCAAGTATTTCCATGTGAATAACGCTATTGCATATTTCAAATTCTTGAGAGAAAATAATTATTCCTTGAATGCAGGAGTGATTGGAAAATATCTTAAACTCTACATTTTGAAACAAAATTCTTTGACCAATGCAGATAAAATAGAAATTGTAGAAACATACAATGATTTGATGCAGAAGTATCAGTATTTGGATTCCGTTACAGCTGAAGAATGTATAATAAGCTTATGTTTGACAGATGAGTGGGAGAAAACGCAAGATATAATAGAAATGGTGAAGATTACCACTTCTCCAGGCTCTGCTATATATTCTGCATTAGCTAGTGCAGCATTTAGAAATGGAAAACCCAACATTGCATGGAAAACACTGACAGATATAGTGTTGCGCAAACAGATTCCACAAAAAAATATATACTTATCACATCTACAATATTGCCTGCTGGAAAATGCAAAATTTTTTAACAATAGACTAGAAGAGATGTTTCATTTCTGGATTAAACACAGTATAATACCATATGATCAAATTATAAGAGCATATGCTAATACAGCTATCAAATATGGTTGGTCTTCAGATCGTGTAACAATCTCCAAAAAAACGTTCGTTTTTTTAATATTTCAGCATGATTTAGTTTAATATACTTAGTAATTTTAAATAATAAGTTAAAAGAAAGTTAATAATTAATGATAGAATTCTTTAAGTTATTAGTAATTACTATATAAGTATAATTATATTTTTAAAAATAATGTTTAAGAATTTACTAAATAAAATTAAGATTTTAAAGCAAATAGATTAGTATTTCTATAGAATAAAATTAATATTTTGAGTTAATAAATAAAATTTTAATATTTATTCTGTTTATAGGGGAAATTGTCAACATTGCGGTAATTTTTTATCCAAAATAACATTTAGTAAAGACGAATTTCAGAAATTGGCAAAATGTGTGATGGACAAAGTGATTATAGGATCGGACATCTATAATAAAACTAATCCAAAAGAATTGTTGAAATTTAAGGAATTTATTGAAAACACTAAACCTTTTGACGTAGTTATTGATGGACTTAATCTAACTTATATGAATCTTTCCGCACCAAAATTACATTTGGTAATATATATTGTTTTTATCAAAATATTTGTATTGGTTATTTATCAATATATCGATACATTATATAAGTTCATATATGTAGAAATTTTAATTGTAAAAAATGATTTTTTTCTATTTTCCTATTATACTAAATATATTATTAAATATTATATAATGTACGTGTAATTTATATTACAGCTAATCAATATAGTAGAGCATTTCAAAAAACGCGGTAAAAAAGTACTCGTATTGACGCGGAAACATCAAAGGAAGCTATCTGAATTTAAACACATAGAGCGAAATGCGTTCGTCTTCCTCATAGATAATTTGTAAGTATTGAATCTACGCAGATGTTATGGGACTTTTTTACATTGATATAATTAATATCATGGCATATGATTACTTTATAATGATAGTATAAAGTAAAAGTATATATATGTATATGTATAACAATTATAAAACAGTTATATTTTAAATAATACATTAAATAAAATTTTTGTATACAAATACATCAAATTTTAGATCCGCTGATGATCCTTACATACTGTATGCAACTATGGCGTGTGGAATGAATGCAATGTTTGTTTCGTCAGATTTAATGCGACAACATAAGTATTCCTTACAAAATGAAGATTTACAACACAAATTTAAGAAGTGGCAGTTTTCCCATCAGTACTTCATCAAGTTCAGTGCAACTGGTATGCGCATTCAAGACCCTTTTATCTATTTACCGATTGTACAAAAGAGTGATAACTGTTGGCACGTGCCGTGTGTCACTGAGGATCTTAGTAAGGAGACTTTAAAGGAGTTTTATGAATTTTCAGATAAGTGGTACTGTTTTAAGTATAATGAAAAAAAAATGTATTAAAATATAAATTTCTTTGTTGGATATATTGTATATATTTATATGATGAACGTCAGATGCGATTTAAAAAAATTCAAAATTTTCTTAATGTCTTTTATAACACGCAGTACTATGTTTTTTATATAAATTTATAATAAATGTTATAAATTATATTGCTTGTGCTCTACTACATTAGTCCTAAAGACTAATGTATTTAAATGAACTATGTTCGTAATTGCTCATAATAGTCGAGGTAGCATCTAAATTAAAAACGAAATGAAGTTAAATATCAGAGATAACAGTAAAAGTAGTATTTTTATTGATTTGTATTACATGTATATATTTTTTGTTTGTAATATATATGTATATATATTTCATATTTATAATATACATATACATGTAGTTATAGTTTTAACATATCTGAACAAAATTAATTCGATAAATATCTATGCTTGTAAACGTTGTTTATTACATTCACTTTGGCTCTGGTAGCGCTTAAAAAATTATTAATGATGAATCACACTGTTATATAATTATTGTTTACCTCATTGAGATAAAAAAATAGATAACCGTTAATAAGCACTTTTTAACAAAAGAAAATATGATGAAACAGTGCACAATCTTCTTAAAAGCTTTGAACAAAATATCGAAATTGGATTTAAAGAACGCATTATCTTTTTTCATTATATTTCGTCATTATATACAAAATCTGGTAAATTCTTGTGTAAATACAACAAAAATTGATTTTTTCTTATTCCCTATTGTTACACGTGATCATTCAAATTTGATTGCTTATATATATATATGTACACATACATATACATGTAATTATTGTTTATTTTTTGTAACTAAATTTTTTGTACTTTCCCAATCTCATCTCTTTTTCCCCTCTGACGTTCAGCGTTTCAAATTGAATGCAAAAGTAGTATAATATACAAATACAAAAAACAAATTTGCAAATATAAAGAACGGGCTTTAAAAGGCATGAAAGTTGCGAGGTCGAGTAATCGCGTCATGAAAATCAGGCCGTTTGTTCGTGAGTGACTTGTGAGTGCAGTACTCAGTAGTATAGTCTGCGCAGCAGAGGTCGCTGCAATCGCGATTTTATATTCCAACAGAATTATCGCGCGATAATTCCGTACTGTAATTTATCGCGTTTTCCAAAGCATCATTCCGTCCGAATTCTCGGGTGTCGCGTTTCCGCGCGCTTTTCAGTAGCCGGTCGATTCGGTGTTCTTGCTGTAAACTCGTCCTTGCCGGGTATGTAATGCTGCGTGTCGTGGTCTGCGCCCGAACCTCGCCATCTTTGTCTGTCACCGTCGTCGTCGCCGCTGCCGCCGCGAGAACGGTCTCGCAGAACGTGGTCCGGATGCTCGCCGACCGTCGTAGTATTTTCGTCGCGTAAGAACTATCGTGAGTTTCTCCGTTCCAAATCGCGGACGTTTCCAAGATTGATTCTGCGTGAAGATACCGCGGTTTCTCCTTCTCGCGCTTCTCCGGCGTGTCGGTTTGAGAGAAACGGAGAGGCTGGATTCCTTCAGCGAGGAACTTTCGCAGGATCCTTCAAGGATATTTCCGGGACGTCCCAAATTTTTCTTCGGGGCATCCTGGTGGCATCCCTTCGTCAGTGGGATGCTACATTGAAGCGAGCGGTGGCAACCTTGTTTGGACCATTCGCAGGAGTAAGTACGAATTGTTGTGTTGAAGTCTAAATTGTATCGCACAAGAGTTTAATCAGCTGGTACAAGACGCTGCTAGATAAGAGGCGACGCGATTCAATTTATGTCGACGAGTGGTTTGAAGTGGACAATTGAAAAGATATATAAGAATGGTTTCTGTCTAATTATTACACAAATAAACAGATATTGTAGGGTAATAATTTTTAGGAATAAGAATACGTTTCTGTGTGTTTTGATATGAGAAAAGCAATTACGCACCAATTGTTGTAAAAGAGGATTTTTCATACTGAAAGTATCTTAAAATATGCGAACCTGTACTATTTTTACATGATTTATTTTTGTATACTATAATCTGAGGATTTTAGCTTTTAGGAAAGTGTCCCTTCCGATGAATATTTTGCAGTTTCTCTGGTACTAATAATTAATTCTGATTGATATTATTGATAAAAGATCTGTCTGAATACGTCTTGGCAATTCGCAGGTATAACAGGGAAATGTTATCGGCTTAATTTATTTCCGCCGACAGCGGTAGTCGCGGAAGCAGAACAGAAGGTTAGCGACCATGACGTTGACCATCACTGTTTTCGACTACCTTTTCGTATACTTTAAGCAATGTAAAAGTTGCAGAATGTATGACAAAATTTATTAAATTGAACAATTAAAAATTAATTAATCATTCTTTGAAAGATTAATAAAATATGTGTAACAATACGTAAATAATGAAAATAAACGTATGTGCCTCACTAATTCTTGTGAATGGAAAAGCAAACATAAAATAAAAAATATCTGTAAAATATAAGAAAAGTCTATCTTATTTTTTAGATTTATTTCATTTTTTTAGAAGTTTGATAAAAATATTTCGAAGATCTTAAAAAATCCAAATATAAGAATTAAGAAATATTCAACTGTACGTATGTATTTGAAGTTTTTTATTATAGTATTAGTTTAATGTAAAAATACTAATAGCGACAGTAATTTATATAATTTCTATTTCTATATCTATTATTATATACTTCTTCTATTTTTTATCTCAATTACAACATTTAATAATTAATTATACGGAAATCATTAAAATTAATTGATATCAGATTTACAAATTATTATTGAGACGATATATTAAAACTTGTTAAAATTATTTATAATAATATAATATTAATTTATTTCTCATTAGATAATATTTAAAATAAATATGAATATTTTTATTAGACATTTAATTTTTTTGAAAAAGCAAAATTTTCTTAATTGATATTGGCAATTAATAATGAGCCAATAAATTTTTTAAATTTGTTAAACGATTAAATATCAAACAATTTTATTACGTGATCCATCTAATTTATTTTTTTAAAAAGTGAAATTTTATTAATAAATAATTATCAGTAATTATGGATATATAATTTTATCAAATACAAATTATTTATTTATTTATTAGAACTTGAATAATACTTTAGGAAAGCCATTTTGTCGATTATCGTGAAATTATTTCGCTATACAATTCTAAAATCCTTTCTCGTCGGTTCTGAGTGAAACTTAATAAGACTTTTCCTTTCTCCTCATTATTATAGTTGTTTTGCTGTTATTTATTATGCACTTTAATTTTTAATTATTATATATTTTATATATGACTCGATATCTAAGATCATGCTGTATTTATGAAGTAATTTCGTTCTACGTAATAATAGTGAACAAGATATTAATTACTAAAAATCGTTGAATATTGGTTTTTAATAATTTTTCAAATATTGTCAACTTTACAGAAAAACAGCAAGACAAAAATTGCTTATTTTCTTCTCATAAAGTTCTGAGAATTTTTTTTAAATTTTTTTGTACCGCATTTTCTCATGTTGATAAAAATAAGAAAATGCAGTACTAAAAAATTCTGAAAATATTCTTACAGTTCTATGAGAAGAAAATAAATGATTTTTGTCTCTTGCAATTTTTCTGTAAAGTTGATAGTATTTAAGTAAAAAATTATTCAAGACCAATATTTGGCATTTTTTAGTAATTAATATCTTGTTAACTATTGCGAAAATTGCAAAATGGTAAAGGATTTTTCGACTCAGTTTAGTCCACTCTACAAGCGATTGGTCAAAACTTACGGGACATCCTGTATAATTATATATATTAAATATATATATTATTTGCATGGAGAATATTATAATATAAAAATTAATATTGAATATTAATGTTCTCCATAATAAAATATATAACTAATATAAAAAAATATACATATAAATTGATTAGACAGATATATTGGATAATTATATTATTATATTAAATAATGATTGATATATTTACATATCTAGAATAATCTGATATGTTTGGTTATCATCATTAGAACAATTACGATATAGGTAAGTTATAAATGTTTGTTTGTATTTCAAATTATCCATTTAAAGCTCAAATGCAGCCTTATATTATTAAATTTATATTTATGGTTATATAATAATAATAATTATTGGTTTGATAATATTTAATGTTAATTGTCATTTTATAAAACTCTATTATTAAAAAATTTGTTCAGAAAGTATTTTTGTCAAAGGTCTCGAAATTAGATATCTTTATTTTCGAGGAGAAAAAACTGGGAGATCAGCGTCTCTTATCGTCAAATGTTTCTAATCAGATGTTTTTTATTTCAATTGACAAATGATTTTCTTCACTGCATGCACTATTTATTACGAAAAATATCATTAGAGTTTTAATGATCGAATTCACTTGATAATCAAAAATATTCAATCTGTTCTATATTTTGTTACAGTATTTTATTAATTTTGTATTTTATTCTTATGTTTAATTATTTATTATACTATTATTACGCATGTCTGTTGGAACGTTATAAAATATAATAATAATTCTGATTCATTAGTATATTGAAATTATATGGGAAATTATGCAAAAAATATATGGATAGAGCATTAATAAAACAGTAAGTTTTTATTTTTGGACAGTTCGCATTGATGCGATCGATCCCCCGATTAATTATTTAATTAAAGATGTTACGATTATCGAAAAAAATTCTAAGGATTTAAAATTATACATCATTATTACGCAAATGTTTTCTTACATTTGATGATTTTTTTTATAGATTATAGAAATCTTCTGATATGAAATTTCCGTGAGAAAAAAAAGAACAATATTTTTGCATAGCTCTATGCATACAGACATTGCGTTACTCGATAATAGTGCATTACTGGCTCAGTAGTCTGTCGTCATCTCGTGAGTCATCGAATGCCAGTCACAGCTGTATTCTCTAGTAGTCTGGGATTGCAGAAACAGACTGCGTGGAACTTTCTTACCGCTCCGCAGATCTTGAGATTTGCCCTGATTTGCTTTGTATTTGCGCGAAAAATTTTCAAA